TTCCACTTTTCAAAAGGCAAACTTGGCTAAGAAACCACCTTAGGCTCTTTGCTAACAAAGAAATACTTCGACCATTTTTATGTAAAGCAACTTAGGACCCGTGCATAGTTTAACCCCTGCTCATTCCGCTGCGCCCCGGCTGCGCCCGGGTGGTCCGCGTCTGAGGCGGCAGGCCCTGGACCACAGGGGGACAGCACTCGTGGGCTCCGTCCTCCAATGTCTCACCCACGACTGGGCCACCCCCCCCAAGTTACCTCCACTCCACACACCTCATCCACAGTCATACCTCCAGGCCTGGCTGCCTGCCTGTCCCGGGGGACTCGGTTCAGGGCGCCTCCCCAGCACCGCGCACACCCGCCCTCCCATGCAGCACAGGGCCTTGAGCTCTCGGTCAGGGTCCCCAGGGCCCCATCCCGGGTCGCCGCTCTACTGCTGGGTGGCCGGCAAGAGCTGAGCGGGGCGCCAGCCGCGCACGGCTCAGAGGCACTTACAGCTGAGACCGGGTCCGAGTGCGCTGGCAGAGTCTTGAGGCACTTGCCCGTCTTCACGTCCCATATCCTCACGCTCTCGTCAAACTGAAGACAAAAGAGGGCATCACGATGATTCCGCAGGGAGGAAAGGCGAGGACAGGTTTCCTGCAACCCGAGACCTGCCACCGCCGCCCCCAGGAGCAGCACAGTGACTCTGCTCGGCCACCATCCCCACCACAGGGCCAGGACGTCCGGTGCGACGGACGCCCACCCCCCTACCCCCCCCCCGAGAGGCCAGCGCGCTCACCGAGCCTGAGACGATGAGGTTCGACTGGGGGTTGAAGTTACAGCAAAAGACGTAATTACTGTGTCCCTTCAGGGTTTTCAGACACTTCCCCTACAATAAAGTTCTGTCAGACAGCCACTCCCGGCGGTCATTTCCCCAAACATCAACTTCAGGCTGGACCCACCACAGCTGCAGAGCCCCTCTGACGACAGGCAAGGCTGTTCCCCAACTCGGCCCCCGCCCGCACCCCCAGCCGCTCAGGCCTCGCGGGAGGAGTCGGCACACACCGAGCTCACGTCCCAGATCTTCAGGGTTTTGTCATCTGAGGCAGAAACAAGGAGGTTGGAATCTGACGACCAGGCCACATCCGATATTCCCTGGGGAGGAGACACGCAGTCACCACCTCGATGGGGCAAACCGGGCCCAGCCAGCAATGCCCAACTGAAGATGGACGAGCAGGCCATCCACGCTCGGAACCCCCAGCTCTGCCAACCATGCGGCCGGGACCTCGGGCCCCAAGGAAAAGCCTGCTCTGCGGGCTAGGCCAGGCCGTACAGTCGGGCAGAAACTCGGCCGAGGTCGTCCAAAGTATTTGCTTGAGAAACAAGAGGCAAATAACTACCCAAAACACTGGAGGGGTGAGAGGGACTCAGATCTTAACCAACAAGCCCAGGAGATGGCCCCAACCCAGCGCCCCAGTAGCAACTCCAGGGTGCAGGGCCCAGACCTACCAGCTTGTGACCAGAGATGGTTTTCTCAAATTTCCCATCATAAGCTCCCCAAATCTTAATGAGCTTATCTGCAGCTGAAAGAAAGGCGTGAAAAGCAACGGGGGTCTCCGGTCATCCAGAGGCCAGTCTGGGCTGCCCCTCAACACAAGCCCCAGCGGCCATGTGACCCTCAGGAACCCCGAGCATGGCCACGCACAGGGAGCAGCGGTCCCCGCCCCCCCGCACAGTCGCATGGGCACAACTTCAGGCAGTGACTTCCGCACAGTCACAGCAAGGGGACATGCCGCTGGCCGCAGCGGAGGGTCAGAAAGCAAGGCCCCCCATCCATCCTCCCGGGCTCCCTGTCTCTTCCCGCAGCCGTGGTCCCAGCACCTACACGAACTCGCCAGCCACTCCCCATTCGGGCTGAACTTCACAGAGGACACAGCTTTCGTGTGGCCAGCCAGGGTGAATTTTAGAGCGTAGTTGGGTTTCACAGGTGTAGGCTGTTAGAGAGAGTCCCAGTCAGCAGAAAGTTGCCACCGCTGTCCAACTCAGCTGATCGCCACTTTGGATCTGAGTCCCACGGCCTGAGCTCAAGCGCACACCTGTCTTTTGACAGCACCTCCTCCAACTCTCACCTGTCCGGATGTCACCTTTCAGACTGAACGTGCCTAACCTGAGCTCGTTACTCCCCTCACAAACTCTGCCTCTCCCATAGCCCCCCCCGCCACAGACAGCCCCCCATCCTGCCAGGCACGGGGAGGCCCCTGGAGGCAACGCCCACCCCAGCGCGGCTGGAAGCAGCACCTGACGTGGCCATACCACGGAAGCCCCACCAGCGCCAGCCCCAGTTCTGCAGCCCCTACCCCAGCTCAGCCTCCCCCACAGCAAACCAGGCTCGCTCCCTTGCTTAAAGGCCTGCCTGCAGTCTACATGAGGGGGGGCCAGGGCGGGAGTCCTCAGTCAGAGATGTTTTCTGAGTCCCACAGAGACTCTTCCAATCAAGACCAAGGACCTGCATGGCTGACAGAGGCCCCCCGCCCGTGACAGGCTGGGATTCCCTGACCTGGCACAGAAGCAGCACTGGTTGGGGATGTGGTCGAGGAATAACAACTGGCAACATTTAACTGACTCATGGGCATGAAATACTATTTCCAAGCCCCTTCCAGCCTCGGTGCCCCGGCAGTCCCCCGGCAGTGCCCCAGCAGTTCCCTAGGAGCCTGCGAGACGCGCCTTGCTCTGTGTGGCCGATGATGATGGGGTGGGCTGTGCTCGGGCAGCCTCGGTCTCCGGCTTCTTCTCCTCGGTTGCCATGGCTCTGAAGCCCACCGGGCAGGGAGACGGGGCGGAGTTCACGGCTCCAAGTGGAGGCCTCGCTGTGGGAACGGCTCTCTGCTAATCAAAACCTACAATGGAGGACCGAAGCCAATAAACAAACCATATTTCAAAAATTAATTTGCAGGAAAAATAATTGAAAAACCTCCGACCACCTTATTGAGCCCTGCAGCAGCTACTGCTCTGAACCGAGGACCCTGTCACCCTAGCTCCAGGCTAATGCCTCTCAGACCTGTGCCGCCCTCGCCCACTGTGGTCAGAGACCCACCCTCAAGGGCGCCTATTTTGTTACCCACGTGTCCCCAGGAACACAGCACAGTCCACACAAACAAAACACAATTCTCTTCAAAGAGCCCTTGATACATTTTAATAAAAAGAGCAAATGCTTCTTGTCAGGAAACAAACGTGCCAAATTACAAGAGACTGAACTGCAGGGCGCAGAAGGTTGGGAACTCATCCCAACCCTCCAGTGCGTCCCGGTGATGCAGCGGTGCCAACAGCCACTGAAAACACGAGAGCTCACCCTAGGGGCCCACACCTCCTGGCAGCCTGGAGGTCTCCACGTGCAGGCTGCAGACACAAGACTGCTTCCAGAACGCAAACGAGCAGAAAGGCCCTCTGTCCCCTGGCAAGGTGACCACAAGACACGGCCGGAAAGCACAAACCAGAGCCAGCCCTGCCCACTGGAGTCCCCACCAGACAGCCTTCTGCAGAAGCAGCCTGAAGTTCGCACGGACACTCTGCAAGCAACACTCACTGCAGAGGACGGACAAAGACTGCAGCTCAATTAGGTTTCAGCCTGAAAACGGGAACTACTCAGTAAGTAACTGGTTTCCTCTATCACAGAAAGATTCCGTTACTTGGATACACGGCATAGAAGCACACCAGGTGAGTCTGAAACAAGGGAACACATTACTCAATTGAGGCGAGCAGCCAGGACATTCTGCAAACATCACGGGCATCCAACTCCCAGAAGCTGCACGACCATCAATCTAATGAGTCTATGCATTGTGAATTCGGGCTTGGCGCTTAAAACTGGAAGCTTGCACAGGCTTCTTGTCACACCAAGACGAAACAGAAGCCATCAGAGAACACGTCTCCAGGTCTCTGTCCATCCAAGAGGAGGGGACAGAAATTATGATGCAACACAGCTGCGCAGAGTGCTGCGGGGCCACAGCTGACTACTTGCAGCCGGGATCCCAGCCTCGGATGGATCCCAAGGCACCCAAAGGCCAAGCACTTGGGTGGAGGAGGGGAGGGGCAGGTCAGTAAACCCGCCCGGGGACAAAGTGCCAGCACAAAGCTGGTACTCAGAATGCTGGCTGCTTGGTGATTATCTTCAGTGCACCCAGGCCGAGCCAATTAACCCAAGTGCTGCCTTCCCCTTGGTGGACTGGACCACTCGGGGGCGGGGAGCCAAGGAAGAGAGCTGAAAAGTCCATTTCACAGAACCCAGTGTCTGAGGAAGCCAGGCCACGGCAAGAGCTGCGAGAAGGGTAGCCCGTGGCCCGCCCCAGCTAAACACCAGTGGGAACAGAAGAGCCTCCGTCTGGAGTGGAAGTGGCAGCTCAGAGGCCGGATTTGATCACAAAAACCAAGACCCATCAGGAGGCGGAGCGTGACTCCCACAAGCTGTCTGCCTTCAGGTCAGGATCAGGGATGCAGTAGGAGGTCTTACAGACAAGGCGGCCCACCCCTCCCAGCTCAGCCTCCTGGCCTAATTCCTGCCCAGCCCTTCAGCTAGCAAAACAGGAACATACAAAAATCCAGCCGAACTTCGAGAAACACTATTTCTTGACTCAACATTTGGAGCTGGGCTCTGAGCCCTTGCTCCCCACCCCTTCTCGGCACTGGCACCGGGTAGGCCTGACCATCTAAGGCTGAGCCTCCTAAACTTATGAATGCTCTCCCGGACTGTTTGTAAAATGCATTTTTCTGGGCTCTACCCCAGAGACTGGACCCGCTGGTGTGGGAAGACAGGACAGAACGGGCCAGCCCCACGGAATGAACGAACTTGGCTCTCCTCACCCCAGCTGGATTCTCAAACAGGCTTAGGGTTGCAGCTTACCTGCCTGCCTCCTATGGGGCTGGGCCAACCTTAGACGCAGCGTCTAGCACAGGACCTGCCAGACTGCGATAACGGACCTGGGTGAGTAGAAACGGGATGAGAAGGCTACAGGGAGGCTCGTACACAGCCCCCAGGACGGCTCTACCTGACTGGGACCCTGGGCTCTCGGGGAGAGATGGGGCCTGGCTGCCCGGGCCAGGGGCGAGCAGCAAGCCAGGGTGGAGGCGTTTCTGCAAGAGGAGGACAGAGGGGTCTGCGAGCCACATCCAGGCACTAAATGGCTCAGTGGGTCTGAGGTCTTTCTTTGGAGGCAAAGGGAAGATGCACGCGGGCTGCAGGAAGAAGTCGCAGTCCCGGGGCCGGGGGCTTGTCACCTGCGCGCTGGGGTCCCCGGGGCTCGGCGGCGGTCCGTGCGAGTCCGTCTG